GATCTTGACGTACGAATGGAAATTCGCAATATTCAACGAAATAAAAATGTTTTCGTAAAGGAATATCGTTTGCGATGGGATAAGACGAGGAAAAGTATCTCAATGATATTTATTAATAACTAAAAACTACACTAATCATAATTACAATGTAGTCTACCAATACAAGAAACATTATCAAGCAATCACGAGTCCGATACGGACATAATATGTAGTGTCTACATTATCTACAAAAATTAATTTAAAAAATATCCAATTACCCACCTGTACGAGTTTACTTAACGAGGAAATACTGGGGCTTATACAAAAACTACACACCACTCTTGGACAACAACGATTGGACGTTAAGTTTCAGTTTGTACATTAGTTTTTAAAGATACTACCCTACGAGTTCCTACAACGATAACATTTAAGTAACATTTACGGATATATAAACCGTACGAGCCCGAACCCGAAATGAACGGTTAAAACGTCTATAAGATCCGCGGGGCCAATTTAAAAATTCAAGTATCACAAAAGATTAATAAAAATTAATTTCTATTAGGAATTCTAAAATAGTTTCGTTAATCCCGGTTAATCGTGAGTAATAAAAAGGTCGATATAAAAATAACGCTTTTCGCGTGTTACAAAGTATAAAAGCGTAGAAACGTTTTAAAAATGAAACTTGGCGTTTTAATTACAAAATTTTGAATTTAAACTTGCAATTTATAATTCGAAACGTGAAGTTTGGAATACGTACTTAAATTGTCAGGTTTTTGAAAATTTGCATTTGAGAGTGCAAATTTCAAGTTCGGAGCATGAAATTTTAAGCTGGAATTTGAAATTTCACGTTTCAAATTCCAACCCAAAATTTTAAACTCGATCACTAAATATTGAGTTCCAACACAGTTTCAAGTACAAACTCTAAATTTTTTGTTTAAACTTGAAATTATAAGAATTTGAAATTTTTAATTTAAAACAAAATTTTGAGTTTTTCGTTAAAATTTCTATTTCAAAACGACAAGTTTTAACTTTGAATCATGAAATTTTGAATTTCAACAATTTAACTTGAAATTTTCAAGTTTAATTTGAAATATAAAATTTGAAAGTCCTACTTAAAATTTCAAATTTAAACTCGAAAATGTCGGAATTTTGAAATTTTTATTTCACTTGAAAAACTGTGCTAAAATTAAAAATTTGTAGTCTTGAAATAGAAATTTCAAGTAGAAACTTGTAATTTCGCGATTTAAATTAAAAATTTTGAGTTTAAATGCAAACTTTCAAATTCAAACTCGAAAGCATTACAATTTGAAATATTACAAATTCAAAGTGAAAAATTTCAAGTTCAGAACTTGAAAATTTAAGTTGAAACTCGAAATTTTATATTTCAAGCCACAAAAACTAAAAATTTCGAGTTTCAACACAAAGTTGTAAGTTCTAATTCCAAATTTCTTGTTTTAAGTCGAAATTTCCAGTTGGATTCCAAAATTTTGTATCTAAATTCAAATTTGCTAATTCAAAAACTTGAAATTTCAAGTTGATAAACGAAATTCAAAGTAGAAGCGAGAAATTTCTAGTTAAATTGCGAAATTTCGAGTTTAAACACAAAGTTTCAAGTTCGAATTAAAATTTCTCATTTAACCCCAAAATTTCTTAAATTGGGAATAAAAGTGATAAAAACAGAATTCAAAATTTTAAACAGACAAAAAAGATAAATATCCGGCCCTTTTACGTTCCCGTAACAACAAAAATCAATTCCAACAAAGAAGTTACTGCTTCACTGCAGCAGGCCATAGTTACTCGTTTTTCTCTCGAGCGTGCTGGACTCGATGCCGCTATCTTCGTCTGCGCTGTCCAGCAAACTAGCTTCTCCCCTTATGAACTCGCTGTGCCCTTTGCCGCAATCGAATTTATCCTGTAAAATGTGCTTTTCCCGGCTGAACTTGCTTTGGTGATCGACATCCTCGCAGGGCTCCATTTCTGCCAACGGCTTGTACGGCAAGGCCTCGAACGAGACGTTCTTATTCTTCGATTCGTCCGGCGGCGTATCCACATGTTGGACCGAAAACCTGCTCTTCCCAAACGTCGTAAACGTCGGCTTCTCCCTGATCACCGGCTCCGGCATGGGCTCCACGGTGAACATCTTCGTAGAGGTGAAAGCGCTCGGACTTGGCGGCAGATCTAATTTTAACTTGTTCCTGGTGTGCCTGAGGCCGCCTAGGGAGTCGTTGCTCTTGATGCTCGTCTGCTTACTTTTTTTAACAGCCTCCGACGCCAAGTTCTTCAGACTCACGACCAAATGCGTCTTTACGTCGGGTTCGTTCGTCTCCGTCGAGCTGCCCGGCGTGCCGTCTTCCATGCCGCTGTCCGGGGTCGCATTCTCCCCGTTCCAGGCGGAGCCGCCCGGGAAGAACTGCGAGCTCAGATTACTGACGGCGTCGAAGGGCCTCGCGGAACTACTAACGAAAAACTCGTCTTCCAGGCCGGCGATACCTACAAAATAAAGTGTTAAAATGAAAAATTAAATTGTTTCGCGGCGTCTTACTTGGGACAAAATCAGATATATTGGTCAGTTGGTACAGATTTCTACTGGAAACGCTTTTGGGTTGGTAGCTATACCCACTTGGGAAAATATCGTTATCGTCCACCGATGTGGGGAAATATGTGTCTGCGTCAAATTCCCAGTCTGAAATCGATTCATTGAGTATTCAGTACAAGGTAGTACAAATCATGTGAAAGTGCGATCGATGATTATGAAATGAATGAAAATCTTGATGTTAAAAAGTGAAATACGGGTCAGGTTATGTTTGCAGAAATCTTAAGCAGGAAAAAATTCGTGTGCTGTTAAATTAAACTCCGCAACAAATTTAACTGAAAAGTAATAAAATATACTTGGACTTCGTTACACGCTCCCGAAAACAATGTTTTTTGTATGCAAAAATATTTCACAGACTTAGTCTGATGTAATATTTGCTTACGTAAAATAATGTAACACCAAAAAAGCAGTTTTATATAAAAAATACTGATTAACGAACCAAAGATCGATCAAAATAATTTTAACACGACGTCACGACATATCTTGCCGTTAAATTTTAAAGGCGTGATAAAATATGAAGCTTTAATGAATTTGTATCTTGACTATCAAAATTTTTAGTGACCGTTAATGGTAAAGTAACTTGGCGAGCTGTTAAAAAAAATAAAAATTTGATAGAGTAGTTCAAACGTCCCACTTGTTTGGCAATACTGAATCGGCCAATATCAAAATTACTACGTGCCGTGTTGAAAATATCCTCATTGACTTCGCGTAGGGCAACGATTTTGTGTATTCTGTGTACTTTAACGGTCACATATATTTTATTCTCTGCAATATAAATTTATAGTAGAAATTTTAACGACTACCAAGATTTTAACACCCTACTCAGGTTAAGAAAGATATTTCTTCCGTAGAACAAGTTTTACAACTCGCTGATCCAGATCACCAATACTGAGACGTTTGAACTACTCTATCAGAGAATGAACCGATAATATTTCAAGGGTCCGTTATACTAAAATTTCAATAGAAATTATTAAATTAAATGACAAAATTTACTCGGGATTAAAATGAAAACAAAGAACAAAAATACGTTTTTGTAATGCTTATTGCGGCAAACTGAGGAACTCAAAAAATAAATTCCAGCGATTTCCCTACACCATTTTTCGCCGACACATTTTTTTTTATCTCAACACTACGATGAACTGTTTGTAATTTTAAAAATTATTTGCTGCTTATTATTATTTCTTCGTATTTAAAATAAATAAAAAAAATATAACATTTGAACATATTTTACCTGTAAACGAACTGTAATCCAATTGAGGTTTCCATAAATCTTGACTCTGTAAAACGGGGCTCTCGGGTTCCCTTGGATATTCATAGACACAGTGGTACTTTTGTTTCTTAAACCAAACGCCTTTCGATTTATTCTGAAAAATTATGGAAACGTTATTATTTAGTTAGAGGTCGAAGGGTCATTAATTACACTCGGCGTAACAATTTTGGGGCCTAAGTTGATTAGAACACATTAGATTCTATAAATCCTTCTCACCTTCTCCGTCTTTCCGAGGGTTTTCTCCGGCGACCTGAGGGCCGACTTCATCGGGGTGGCAAACTTATCCCACGCAGACGGGACAAACTCGGGCGCCTCCCCCTCCTCATCGCTGGTGCCGCTGCTCACGTCGCTCTCATCATCGGTGCTCTCCTCCGCTATCCCTTCCATCGGTTTGATGTCTTCCAACTAAACAGGAACGACACGGCACGTTAAAGTAAACCTCGGAAATTTACGTGACAATCGTCGGGTTACCGATCACTTACCACGTCTTGCGGGGCAGCTCGTAGGGCCTTGAGAGACTCCTCATGCTCCCCCTCCTGATTTCACGAACACATAACAGACAGAGATTTATTCGCAGTAGCACAAGGACAGAAGCTTACGAAAGGTCAGGAGCGAAAAGGTTGATAAAATCGACTTTGCGTGGCACGATAGATGTTTCGTCTCGAGGTACGCGAATCAACTTTTTCGCTCCTTCGGGAGTATCTATTAGTTACGTTTACATTTTGAGAAAGCTGGGGAAGCAACAGTTTTACTTCTTCCACTAGAGACTATGCAATTGCGATTTGCAAAGAAGCATTCAGTTCAATTTAGGTAAAATTCCTTATATTTTAATGCGATGATCGAACGAGTCGTTCATTTGAATGAGTAATTCTCTCAAATGGGTATTTCATTTGAACGAGTCATTCAATTGAGTGAGTCGTTCATTTGTATGAATAAATCCTTTCAATGAGTCGTTCAGTTGAATGAGTAATTCTCTCGAATGAGTATTTTACTTGAACGAGTAATTCCTTTTAAGGTTCATTTGAACAGATTGTTTCAATTAGTCAATCAGTTGTACGAGTAGTTCCCTCGAATGAGCATTTCATTTGAACGAGTCGTTCATTTGAATGAGTAATTCTCTCGAATGGGTATTTCATTTGAACGAGTCATTCAATTGAGTGAGTTGTTCATTTGTATGAATAAATTCTTTCAATGAGTCGTTCAGTTGAATGAGTAATTCTCTCGAATGAGTATTTTGTTTGAACGGGTAATTCCTTTTAAGGTTCATTTGAACAGATTGATTCAATTAGTCAATCAGTTGTACGAATAGTTCCCTCGAATGAGCATTTCATTTGAACGAGTCGTTCATTTGAATGAGTAATTCTCTCGAATGGGTATTTCATTTGAATGAGTCATTCAATTGAGTGAGTCGTTAATTTGTATGAATAAATCCTTTCAATGAGTCCTTCAGTTGAATGAGTAATTCTCTCGAATGAGTATTCTATTTGAACGAGTAATTCCTTTTAAGGTTCATTTGACCAAATTGTTTCAATTAGTCAATCAGTTGTATGAGTAGTTCCCTCGAATGAGTATTTCATTTGAACGAGTCATTTTTTTGAATGAGTAATTATTCCTTCCAATGAGTCGTTCATTTAAACAAGTCGTCCATAAAATATTACTATCTCAATTGCACTATTTGCTTCCCCCCTTTTTCTCAAAATGTTTCCATCTTTTCCTCTTTAATTCAAAACAAAGACAATTTGCAAGACTACAACACTGAATAATTAAACTCCGATTAGTCACAAAACATTCCGCAATATTTACTACTTTGTATCGATTGCAACAGCACATCGAGGCTTGTTTATAAAACCCTGTTCGTTGCCGTTCTTTTATACTCTTTATTACTCCCCGTACCCGTCAATGTGAATGGGAACGGCAACGAAAAAAGTTTATAAATCGCCAACATTCAAACATTATCCAACTTATCCAAAACGCACACGCTACCGCCAAGCAAGGAACTCACCTTCCAAATAAACTCGCCGCTAGAACTCGACCTCGTGTCCGAACCGCTGTCCCAGTCCTGTTCGTCGTTGATATCGTTGCTCTCGCTGAACGACGTCGAAATTAACTGGTTTTCGGTGGGCCCGTTGAATTTTATATCGGTCAGCATGCCGAATATGTCCTCGTCGCGGCCGGTCTCGATTTTATTATCGTCCTGATCGCAGACGGCACAGTCTTTCTTCTCGTTCATGTACTCGACGTTATTCTTGCTGTTCTCCAGATTCACTATGTTCACGTAGTCCACTTCGTTATAAATATCGCTGGAAACGTCAAAGTTTTCATAGACGGGTTGCGCGTCTTTCACGTTTTCGTAAACCGGCGGGGCGTCTTTCACGTTCTCGTAGAACGGTTCCTTCACTTTGATATTTTCATAATCCGGTTGTTCGTGTTTGATGTTCCCGTGAACGTCATCGTCTTGAAACGTCGAGCACTCCTCGCCGACGGGTTCGTGTTGAGATTCCGTTATACCATTGGGTTCGGGAAGATCGTTGAATTCAGGTACTACGTCGTTTGATTCAGTCGCGGGCAAGAGTAGCGAATTGTTTTGAGAGATTACTTTGTCGTAGCTCAACAAGGAGGCGGGCAGTTGCTTCCAGGGGTTGTCCTCGGGAGACGGTAGCGGGGCGACTTGGGTCTTCTTGAAAACCATCGCGTTTCCTTCCGTCGATTCGGAACTTGATCCTTCGCTGGACTGTTTAGAACTGTGTTCGATTTCTTGGGTGAGGAATTCGCTTATATAATCCCTGCTTTCGTTATTTTTCATTTCGGACGCGTTTCTCCCCCGATCACCTTCGATATTCAAATTGGAACCCGCCTGGACGTCCTCCGTTTCTTCCGCATTCGTACTATTCAAATTCTCGTCTTTGGTGTTGTTATTTGTCTCGGATTTTACACCCGTCTCGTTAACGTTATCGGGAATCGTGTTTGGGGTTTTTTCCTCGAAGTCCACGCATATCTCTTCGAACGTAACCTCGTTACTTTCCAATATATTCTCGACTGGAACTTCCGTTTCGGGAACGTCACATTTTACGAGATCATTCTCCTTTTCGGCGTCTCCGGCGACGCACGTCAGATCTTCCAAGTTGAAAAGCGTATCGTTGGAACAGCAAGAGTCCTGGCTGGGGGTGTGTCGATGGTGAGGCCCCTTCATCTGACTGTCGTAAGTGTGAGCGGACTGACTTTCCGCTTCCGGGGGTAACGTTTCCGGCAGATCGGGTTCCGACCATTCGCTCTCCTCATTATCGCTTTCTTGTCTAAATCAAAA